CATTTGAAATTTTGATAGATACTGACAAATTCCTGTTTCTTTATAGCCTAGTCAAAGCAGTGATGCCAGATATAATTTTATGCTTTTTCATTTAGAAATGCACAAAGAAAAATGGGCTACCTATTAAAGAATTAGAAAGAAAGCAGGATAAGTTTATTCAGCAATTTACAGACTACTTGTTCACTAAAAATACACTCAACAGAAATTTATTGTGTACCTACTGCATGCCAAGTGCTTTTAGGAACTTGGGAAATATATAACCTCTCTCTCACACACAAATCAAACTAAAATATCTGCTTTTGTGAAGCTTACATTTGAATTGTACATTTTGAAACTTTGAAAGAAGCCAGTTGCATGTCAATATCCTGAAATTGAACTGTTGAGATCCTGAGCACAAGGGCCAGTTATATGCTACCACTGTTATTTAAAAACTAACTAGAGTCAATGTTGCATATACTAGTAATTGTACAGCTCCCCATCAGGTCCTTTTAAAACAAGACACTTGGGTGACAGCTCTTTTTATTTGACTCCATCTGTTGTTGATAGTGATCAGCATACTGTGGCATTGTGGTATCATCTGAGATTAGGTTATGAAATAGGAAGTAGGGTTACAGGAAGATCAACAAGTATATACAAACTGTTGCTGAAACCAAGGGTGTCTAATTCAGGTTTGGAGAGTGGGGAAGATAAGGTTACCGGCACATTCCCATCAGGGCACAGTTTCCTTTTTACAGTCTGCTTTTGTTTTGTTTCTAGAAAGAGATCACAAGGGATTCTATAAAAAATAGTTTCAGAAGCAAACAGCAGTAATACTCAGTATGCTGAACAAGGGAACAGAAAAGGCAACAGGTTGGAAACACAGAGACAGAAAAGACAATCAATGCCAAGGAAAGGGTGGTAGCAAGTACAATTATATAGTATGGTCTCAGACTTATTTTAAGTATTTTTCCTTTCTGACAGGAGAATATCCTAAAATGTTAGCCCTCCACTCTATTTAATTTTGTAAGAAGGTGGTAAAGTACAGCTCTTAAAGTCTTGCCAGTATCCTAGGGAGTTCTTTGCAGCCTTTAAAAAACAATTGGGAGTTCAGCTTGTGATAAGAAAGCCAGACACAATAGCATCTTCAAGTATGAGGTGAAGAACAGAAAAGAGCTAATTCCAGCGAGTGGCTCTTGAATCATATCTTGGCTGTTCCCCCTAACGCCCATTATTAAAATTTAAAATCTCATCCCAGCGCCATAATAGCCACAATCAACAGTTGGTTACTGAATGAGTTGTTTTTGAAGTCCTAATACTGTACTTATTAGTTGTTTTTCAGTTATTGAATTTTATAACTAGAAGAAGGTGCCCTAAGTTCAGTCAACACGCTGCTTTGATAGCTGAGGTGGAAAAGGGTGAAGTGACAATGGCAGAAGCCAGGTCTCTTTCTAGATTTCCAATCCAGTAGAACTCTACACAGGATCACCATGAAAACCCTTTAACACCTGATTTCTGGATTCTGGGCTGCCACACTGCAAACTGGAATGACTTTAGGCAATGACATGCAGCCCCCGTGGGGCATGGACACAGCAGGCTCCGTGAATGGCTGAATGATGAACGAGTGGGTGTCATGCTGCTCTGAAGCCGCCCGACCGACCTTGGAGCACCGCTCCTGGTCCCCGGGGGCCTCCTGAGCCCTTAGTGTGAACAGCAAGCCAGCGCTCTGCTCCGGCGGCTCCGGCAAAGGACAGCTCCGCATGGGCCGGGCAATGGGCTCAATGTCTACAGAGTTCCACTTCGTCCCACTGAGGTAGCATGCGACACTTATTCCGAGGTCCCCGGGGATTTTGAGGCCCCTGAACAACTGACCTCGCTCAGCAGCTCCCAGCAGGCAGGGGCTGAGGACGAGCGCGCAGGGCCCACCGCGCCACTGTCTTTCCTAGGCTTCATTCCTGCCACCCTAGCGCTCGGTCCGTTTCCCGTTCGTCCTTCCCTCATTTTCCCCACGACGGTTTCTCAGCGTTTCCCACTCCCTGTTTACCAAGTGCTCACTCCCTCGTAGTCGGCCGCTCCCTCATCTGTCCTTCGACCCCTCCCTCGACCTCCCTCGGCTTCCCCCTCCAGTATCAGCAGAGGCCTATTCACCTCGCGCCGCCCGGGTCGTCACGTGATCTGGCCCCTGCCC